GGGGGGGGGAAAGCGACACAGGTGGTGGCAACATTGCAACGACATGGGGACGGCGCCAAAAAAAAAGGATAATTGATGAAATGACCATGGGTAATGCATGGGTCATTCACGTGGCTGGCGCCATTGTTGGGTGAACGGCCAATGTTGGTGGGGGAGGGGGAAGAAGGGGAAGGAAGGGAGAGGGGGAGGGGGGGGATAGAGCACAGCAGAGAGGCCAGAACAAGAGAGAGTGGTGCACGTACGCATGGCTGTCCATGGGTAGAGGTGGTGGTGAAGGAAAAAAGCGCTAGCAGAAGCAGCATGTTCATCACTGCCTTGCCCCCCATCATTCTCTCGCTGCCGTAGTTGTAGTGGATCAGCGAGTCAAGAATGCGGCGAATGAATGATCTGCGGGCGGACATTGCGGCACAACGACCAATGGCCAATGATCAGGGTGTGAAATGGTTGAGTGCAAACAAATTTTTACGATGTGGTAACAGCGCAAGCATTCACACAGCATTCACGTGCGGCCATGGCAGGCACCTGGGCTGGTCATCCCCCCCAAGCGGAGAGCCGCACGCACATGCACATCCGCACACACAAACACACGCACGCAAACAGACACGCACACATCAAAGAGCCAACGGCTGGGTGAGCCTGTGCCAACGTGGCTCACATGCACTTGTTGGCGGCGGAGAGTGGTCGACGCCAGCTGGTCAACGCCAGCTAGCTCGAGGTCACCACCGGATGGGCGTTGTTGGCGGCGGGCGAGCCCCAGTCCTGGCCCCACTCGGACCATGAGCCATCGTAGACTCGGACCGACGGTGCCGGGAGGCCGGCCTCGCGGGCGACTTGCGCGGCAAGGGCGAGGACGCACGCAGTCACGCCCGAGCCGCACGAGGCGATGACGGGCGCGCCGCCGCGATCGCCGACCGCAGCCGCAATGGTCTCAGCGAGCACCTCGGGCGAGCGGAGCCGGGTCGTTCCGGCTACGCCCGGCTCGAGGAGCTTGGCGTACGGCAGCGAGACGGCATGTGGCATGTGGCCCGAACGCATGCCGGGGCGCGGCTCGGGCGTAGTGCCGTCGAACCGGCCGGCGGCCCGGACGTCGACCACAACCGGGTCGTCGGGCCGGGCGCGGCGGCAGTAGCAAGCTCCTCCACCTCGCTCAGCGGCGCGATCCACGTCGGATCGAGCTCAAACTCGCAGTACGGCGCAAACGCGTTGACAGCCGTCGCGTTGGACGTCAGCCGCAACATGTACGCCTCAGCGTCGAGCGGATGATCGTCGCGGAGCGGCGGCTCGAGCGCGTCGACCGACTCGGCGAGGACCGAGACGTTGCGGATGCCAAAGGCGCGGAGCATCCACCAAACCCGCGGCGAGTGGACGCAGCCTTCCGAGTCGTAGACCACAATGTGCGAGCCGGGCGCGTTGTACGGGGTGAGACCAAACTTGGCCAGAGCTGTGGTCACCACCTCCTGGGTCGGCATCGAGTGCGGCAAGCCGGCCGACGAGTCGGCCACGGCATCAATGTCGACAAAGTACGTGCCATCGACGGCGCCTTGCGCGCCAGCGGCATTGGCCATGGCATCTCGCGCATCGGTCGGCTCCGACTTTGGCGCCCTCACCCGCCGCCGCATAAAATCCGCCCATCCCGATTCGCCCGCACCTGGCGAGAGGTACCACGATGCGTCGAGGAGCAGCGGCGGAGTCTCGAGCGCTAGCACTTGCTCCGCCGTCACCAGCGAGGCCAACGGGGCCACGGCCTGAGTCGCCTCCACCTCATGCCCGTCGAGCACATGCACCCTACGCCCGCCACACACTCCGCCCCACACGCCCCGTCCCCGTCCCCGTCCGAGCGCAACACCTCGCCGCAGCATCAGCATCGTCGTCTCTGCCTTGTCGACTACGTCACGTGTCGTCGTCGTCGTCCTCGTCGTCGTCGTCGTCGTCGCCCCACCGCCACCTCTCATCGTCGCTGGGGTGGGGGTGGGGGTGGGGGGTGGGGGGTGGGTCGTGTACAATATTTTTTGCTGGGACAAGGACAGACTGTGGCCCTTCTCCCTACGCATCCAAACTACTCCCAATTCACACCACCACCACACACACACACACACACACACACACACACACACACACACACACACACACACAGACGCCGTTACCGTGCCCGCGCCCAGACCGATCTCTTGCAACGGCCATGACGCCATCACAGCACGCCATCAGTTCTCACGTGAATTTTCGAGCAGAAAAAAAATGTCCAAGAGCAATCCTGAGGAGTTCTCGCGCTCTGTAGATAGACTTGTCTACAGGCAAGCGATGTCTACCCATCTGCTTGTCCATCTCATGCTGGTCGCTGCTTTCGCCGGCATGGCAGCCGCCTCGGTCGCCTGTGGCTCATCGTCGGCGCTAGTCGGCTTCTCGGCCTCGCTCTCCTCGCTCGCCCACGGCACTTCGGGCGTCGTCACCGTTGTCGACGATTGCACGCTGCGCGTCGATCATTTTCATTACGACGGCCTTGCTCCCGGAGCTATCTTTGCCTTGCTCTCACCCTCGGGCTCCCACACTCTGCTCATGGGTGCCCCGATGACCGCTACCACTCGCTTCGCCGACGCCTCGCTCCTTCTCCGCCTCCCGCCTGGCGCCGCCCTTATCGCCGGCGACTCGTTCTCGCTCTGGTGCGCCACGATGGCCATGGACATGGGATCAGTCAAGCTTGTCCCGCCCTGCCAGTCTACCGCATCGCACTACGTCGGCTTCACTGCCTCACTCTCTTCGCTCGGCCACAACGTCGCCGGCATCGTCACCGTCGTCGACGACTGCACTCTCGAGATCGCCGACCTCGATTACGACGGCCTCGCGCCGGCGACATACATCTCGCACGCCGCATCGCCCGCCGGGCCCTACTCCCGCCTTATGTCTGGCCCACTTGTTGTCCCGCCCTCGCGCTTCCTTCGCATCGTCCTCGACACGCCGCTCACCTCGGGCGCCGGCGGCATCGTCTCGGCATGGTGCGAGACCGCCAGCATGGACCTTGGCTCGGTCGCCCTCGGCCCGGCCTGCGCCGCCACTTCCCCCATCGTCGGCTTCTCTGCTTCCATCATCACTGCCATGCACGACGTCGCCGGCATCCTCACCGTCGTCAACGACTGCACCCTCCGCATCGATGACTTTGGCTACGACGGCGCCGCTCCCGTCACAGACATCCGCGGCGGCTCTCATCTTGGCGCCCTACAGGCCAACGGGACCATGCTCTTCCCGCAACTCACACGATCCTACCATCATCACACCCTTGTCTTCCGCCTCCCGTCCTCGACCTCGCTGCTCGACATCGGCGTCGTCTCCGTCTGGTGCTCCACACTGAGCGGCATGTCGCTCGGCCATGTCTTCCTTCGCGACATGTCCGGCTGCGAGCTCCCAGCTGCCTACGAATCGGGCTACGCAGCATCGCTGCCATCGCTCGCCCACTCGGTCGCCGGAACCATCACTCTCATCGACGGCTGCACGCTCGCCATTGACGGCTTTGCCTACGATGGCGCTGCGCCGCACGTCCACGTCTACGCCTTTCCCAACTCGGCCGCCCGTGACGCCGGGCCAGCGCACGGCGTCTCCATCACAGGCACAAGGCTTCACGGCGAGTTTGCCTCCTCGCATCTACAGCTGGTGCTTCCGGCCCCAGCCACCATTGCCTCGCATCCGGTCATCTCCGTCTATTGCGTCGCCATGGCCATGGACATGGGCTCGGCTGAGATGAGGCCAGCGTGCACCGCCGCATCGCCGCTCATTGGCATCCCACTCGCCCTCGCCCACACAGTTCACGCTGTGGCTGGCACCATCACGCTCACTGATGACTGCTCCTACAACGTGACAGGCTTCTCCTACGACGGCGCCGCGCCCACTCCATTCTGGCGTGTCGCCTACTCGCGCGCAGGCCTCGCCGGCGGCCTTCGCGCCTCGCACGCGCAAGCTCTCCCGGCCCGCGACGATGTGCTCCGGATCACCCTTCCCCCGCCGCTCGACTTTGTCACTACACCTATCAACGTCATCTCGCTCTTTTGCGAGACCATGGCGATCGACATGGGCTCGGTCAACCTCGCCGAAGCACGCAGTGCGGCGCTCTGTCCGGCAACTCCGGCCTCTCCCAAGATCGGCGCCGTTGGCGCGCTCTCGCGGCTAGCCCACGGTGTGCGCGGCTCAGTCACTCTCATCGACAACTGTAGAGCCCAGATTACCGGCTTTGCCTACGACGGCGCTGCTCCTGATACTTACATCTACGGCTTTCCGGCCGGTCTCGCCCCTGGCGCGCCAGGCGCGCTCGGCATTCCTCTCACCGGCGAGCTCGGCGAGACCCCGTTTGATGACGATACGCTCGTCGTCTACCTCCCAGACGGCCGGACCTGGGACAACATCGGAACCATCTCGGTCTGGTGCGCGTCGGTAGGCATGGATCTCGGCTCGTGGTCCACCGAGTCCGCTGCCCGCACATGCGCCAGCTCGCTCTCGGTTGTCGGCCTCGAGGTCTCACTCATCAGCCAGGCACCGCACGCCATCTCGGGCACCATCACCATCACCTCGGATTGCACCTTTACCATCTCCGACTTTACCTACGACGGCGCCGCGCCCGACGTCCACATTGCCGTCGCCGCCTCACACGCCGATCTCGTCACAGCCACCAACGTCATCCTCGTCTCGCCCTCCATCGGTGGGCCGTACTCTGGGTCGCAGCAGCTCGGCTTCGTCCTTCCGGGCACCATGACCTTTGCCGACGTTGGCGTCGTCTCGGCCTGGTGCGAGACCGTGGGCATGGACCTCGGATCAGCATCGCTCCCGCCGCCGCCGGCACACTGCGGGCGATCGATGACCTCGCCGCGGGTCGGCTTCATCGCCTCCATCGGCAACAAGGCACACGGCGTCTTTGGTACTGTCGTCATCACCTCGGATTGCACCCTCGAGATCCGCGACTTCTACTACGACGGCGCAGCGCCGGCCACGTACCTGGCCGCATCAGCCACATCGCCGTCGTCCACCAGCTACCTCGCCCCGCAGCAGCTCACCACGGGCTACGCTGGCGCCACACTCAAGATCGCCCTCCCGGCTGCCATAGGCACTGTCGATGTCCTCTCTGCTCTCTCGGTCTGGTGCGCAAGCGGCGCCGGCATGGATCTGGGCTCAGTCGTTGTCGCTGCTGCCTGCCCCGGCCCTCCGCTGTCAGTCCTCGCTCACGCGCGCGGAACGTTGCGGCCAGTCATGCACGACATCGGCGGGAATGTGGAGATCATCTCGGACTGCGCCATTGCCATCACGGGCTTCACGTACGACGGCGGCGCGCCGGCGACGTTCTGGACCGTCGCCAGCAACATCAGCGCGCTGGCCGCCGGCGCGGGCTCGCCACTCCCGGGCATCGCTCCCCTGGCCGACGCCACGCCCGGCCCCATCGATCTCATCCTCCACCTCGGCCCACCTGGGATGTTAGAGACTATCTTTGACGACACAAGCTCGGTTGTGCTCTCTGCGCTCTGTTTGGCCATGCCGCAGCCGATGGACCTCGCCGCCGTCGTCATCCGCCCACCATGCCCCGCCACCCACCCTGCCATCGGCACCTCGGTCACCATCGGACCGGGCGCACACGGCATCCGTGGCCTGCTCACCATCGTTTCGGATTGTGCTCTCCGCATTGATAGCTTTTACTACGACGGCGCTGCACCGGGCGTCTAACTCCACGGCGGCGCTGTCGCCGGATCGCTAGCCCGCCTCTCGCCGCTGCGCTTCGTCGCGCCCTACGCCGGCGCATCGGTTGAGATGAGCCTCGCCGGACAGATGACATGGAGCGAGGGCATTCAGACGCTCTCGCTCTGGTGCGAGACGATGGGCATGGACATGGCCTCGATTCCGCTCCCGCGCCCGCCGTGCTCCGCCACCTCGGCCTACATCGGCGCAACCGGCGAGCTCTCGCGGCTCAACCACGGCGTCCGCGGGCGGATCACCATTGTTGACGACTGCAGCTTTGTCATTGACGGCTTTTCCTATGACGGCGCGGCGCCACAGACCCAGATTCTGGTAGCAGCGTCGGGCGCGCCCTCCGACATCGCGTCGGGCGTCCATGCTTCGGGCCCGATCGGCTCGGCACTGGCGGGCGCAAACTCGCTGTTCTTCAGGCTCCCAGGCAGTGCGACGTTCTGCGATGACATGACCTTTATCTCGGTCTGGTGCGTTGCCGTGGGCGTCGACTTTGGCTCGGTCTCGCTTGCCGAGTTTGAGCTCCCGGACTCCAGCGCGAGCGGGAGCGGAAGCACCGGCGGAGGCGCCGACTTTAGCGACTTTGCCTCATGCACGCCGCTCGTTCCGGGTGCGATCAACCTCTACTGGCGGCTACACGAGGCCGAGGGCGTTGTCGAGTACGGGATGGAGGGCGATCTCAAGGACGGCGAGTGGTTTGGCTTTGGCTTTGCCGATCCCGCGCTTGGCCGGGTGGCCATGGTCGGCGCCGACGTCACGCTGGTGGGCCACGCCGCCGACGGCACTCCCTTTGCCCTCGACTACTTTCTCGAGTCGCAGCGGCAGTGCAACTATGCCGATGAGCGCAATGCCGGTGTCTGCCCTGATTCTCAGCAGGACGCGCAGCTTATCTTTGCCGAGACAGCCGGGGGCGTCTCGCGGTTCCGCTGGACCAAGCCGATCGACGGCGGCGCGGCCGACGCGTGGGACGTTGACGTCGACGTAACGGCCGACGCCTCAATCGTATGGGCTCGCGGCCCACAGGCGCCTGACGATGGAACGGGCGAGGTCAAGATCCTCAAGCATCTCGGCAGCAACCGCGCTCAGGATCCGCTCACCCTGCGGCTGGCGTCTTCGTTCCCGCTCGCCTCGTGCGCGCCTATCGAGGTCGGCGGAGGCGGAGGTGGGGGAGGGACCGGAGGCGGGGGTAGCGGAGGGAGCGATGGCACCCTCGGCGGGGTGACGACCATCGAGGTCAAGCTGGGCAACAATCCCAACTATCCCAACCCGCCTGCGTGGGGCATCTCGTACCACCTCAACGGCATCGAGTCGCCGGTGCTGTACGTCGTCCGTGGGACCGAGTACACCTTCCGCGTCATGGCAAGCTCGGATCACCCATTGTACATCACCTCCTCGATCGAGGGCGGGCGATCTGAGGCCGATGAGGTCGTCTACGCCGGATCGGCCGACTCGTGGGGCACCGTCGCCTCGCCGGCGACTGTCACCTGGACGCCCGATGCCTCCACCCCGGACCTGGTCTACTACCAGTGCTGGTCACACCTCCGCCTCGGCTGGGAGATCGTGGTCAGCGAGCCTCCGGTCCTCCCGCCGGGCTTCCCCGACGCGAGTCGCTTTGATCACGTCCGCATCCTGGTCTCCGAGCCGGAGCTCAAGCTGTACTGGACGGCCGAGGCGGGCGTGCTCGACTTTCAGGTCGAGGGCGCGTACCGCGGATGGATCGGCCTCGGGCTGAGCTCCAGCGGCGGCATGACCGAGTCGGACGTGTGGGTCATGTGGGTCGATCACGTCAACTGCGCCGCAGGCTGCGCTCACGACTACTCGGTCGGCGCCAGCTACGGCGTGCCGACGCTTGACACCGCAAACAATCTCGAGGTGGTCGGCGGCGCGCAGATTGGAGGCAAGACCATCGTCCGCGCCCGGCGCGCCTTTGACACCGGCGACGTTGCAGGCGACATGGTCATCCCCGCCTCGGGCGAGGTGACCCTCATCTTTGCCGCCCGCGCCGCAGGCTACCCCATCACTCCCGCTGCGCTTGCCAAGCACGACGCCGGGACCAACGGAGCAGTCGATTTGCAGCTGCTTACCGGCGGCAGCGGTGAGGCCTGCCCAGCCAACTGCACCTCGCTCGATCACGGGCTCTGCACGCCGACCGGGTGCGCGTGCAGGCCCGATTGGGTCGGGCGCGACTGCGCAACGCCAGCAACGGTCGTCCTCGACTCGGCGGACATTGCGCCGGGCTATTACACCTTTGCCCGCGAGCTCGGCGGTGGATACGTCCTCCACTGGAAGATCCATCCGGCGCGCAACAACAGCGCAACCAGCGCGGCCGGTCTGCGCGAGCTCGGCGGCGATGTGGTGGAGTTTGCCATGGTTGCGCCGACAACCGGGTGGATCGGCCTTGGCATCAACCCGAGCGATGGCGGGATGACTCAAGCCGACATGTACGTCGGGACGGTGACCAGTGGTGGGCAGGTGAGGGTGGAAGACCGCTGGTCGTCCGGATACACCATGCCGGTGCTCGATGAGACACTTGGCGGCGGATCTGACGTGCTCGGCGCAGCCGGAAAGGAGGAAAACGGAGTGACGATCATCAAGTTTGTGCGGGCGCTGGAGGCGACAAGCGCCGGTGACAAGACCATCTCTCGCGGAGCCAACACCTTTGCCTGGGCCTACGGCAGCAGCGATGTCTTTGCCAAACACGAGCCCGGGGCCAACGGCGCGGCGGCGGTGGATCTGGCGACGGGCATGGTGACGATTATCGACGAAAGCGGGCGCAAGACGGCGCATGGCGTGCTGATGTTCGTGGCGTGGGGCGTGATGGCCTCGTCGGCCGCCCTGCTCGCTCGCTATGGCAAGGCCTTTGCCTGGTGGTTCCCCATCCATATCGCCGCCAACGTCATCGCCGTCCTCCTCACTCTTGTCGGCTTCTTCCTCGCCGTCGCTTTTACCAAGAACGACTTTGACTATGCGCGCAAGTCGCGCGTAGCCTTTCTCCACGCCATCTGCGGCCTTACCGTCTTCATTGCCATGTGGTGGCAGGCCGGCCTCGGCATCCTCGCCGATCGCCTCTTCGACAAGCTCCGCCTCCGTCCGCCGATCTTCCCCGACGTTGTCCACTGGTGGACCGGGCGATGCACCATTGGCCTTGCCCTCTTCACCGTCCTGCTTGGCCTGGCCGTTTTTGAGGCCTCCGCCGCTGTCATCATCGTCTACCTTGTCTACCTCTTGGCCCTGGTTGTCATCGCCTTTACCCTCGATGCCGCCTTTGGCCGCAACAGCCGCAGTGATCACCTCCCGCGCCCGGCCGTCGACGCAGAAACCTACACCGCTGGCAACAAGGTGGAGCCTTCGGACGAGCCCAATAGCAGCGGCTCGCTCCGCGGCTCCAAGGCTGTTGCATCGCCGTCGATCGAGCTCCAGCCCATCGAGTCGGACGAGATCCTGCCTGCCCGTCCGCCTGCCCCCATCGCCTCTGCCCATCCATCGACGCCAGGCCACGTCCCTGTCCCGCCCACTCACAAGCGCCGATCGCGGCGGCGGCGGCGGCACCGGGCTCCTCCTACTGATGCTGATGGCACAGAAGTAGCGCCAATGCCAGCGCGACAAGGGTCCAAGCCTGAGCCCCAGCCCGAGCCCGAGTCGAGGCTGGGCGACGACAGTGGCAGCGCCGACATGTACTCGTACTCGGCGTCGGACGCATCGTCGTCAACAGGCATCGACGACGTCGGTGCTGCAGACAGCAGACCAGCTGAAACAGCCGATGTGGCTGGCGGTGAGGTTGGAGGCAGCGGTGATGGTGTAGACGGAGGACGTCAAGACCCAGGGCGACAACATCGCATGTTGGACAACGAGAGATGAAAAAAGAAGATCAGTCGTCGGCGCAGGTGTAATAGCGCGTGCATGGAGGCGACGTGAAAACAAGCGGGATGACGGAGAGATGACGAGGATCAGATTGAACACATGCGCGTGTTGCAGGTGGTGACTAACCATCCGCGATGTAGAGCAGATTGTCTACCAGCAGCGACCGGCGGCAAAACACAGACACGTGTAGGACGCAAGGTGGCGGTGTTAAATTTTTATATTCGGTCGGCGATGGCGACGGCGACAGCGTCGAGCGGCGACACTGCACTCTCCTGCCAGCTCGCGCACAGCAAGCAGCCAACGCGATGAAGGCAGCAGTGCATACAGCGCAGGCGGTGGCGGTGGTGGTGGTGATGGCGGTGGCGATGGCGGTGATGGTCGTGGCTGTGGCGGGAGGAGCGGCTGGAGGCGGGGGGAGGGTGAGGCGCGGCTCCGACGGCGAGGGGGACGGCACGGTCGACGCGGCGTGGGGCAACAGCGGAGCGCGGCGATGGGACGGGCTGGCAACGCTGCGCAAGGCGGTTCTGGTGCGGCCGATGGGCTCGGTCGACGCGGCGGCCGAGGCGGGGCGGGCAGGCGGAGCAGGGGCCGGCGAGGCCGACAACGGGTGCGTGGCGGCGGACGGGGCGGTCCTCGGTGGCGAGGAGTGCGTGCTGCTACAGGTGGCACGGAGCGGGACGCCAAAGGTGGTGCGCGGCGTGGCGGCGGTGGCGAGGTGGCGGGCTGTCGCCGCCTGGGAGCCGGCGTACCTGGCGAGTCATGTCGCCGCCCGCCGCCTGCCGGCCGTCCGCATGGCCCGCGGCCCGGTCATGCGCTACTACAACGCACTGCGGGACGGGGCGTCCTTCCAGGACATGCCGGCCGTTGCTGCCGCCCATGCTGCCTCTGCGTACCGTGTGGATGACGTGCCCAAGGATGCCTTCTTTGCCTCGCTGCGCATGGGCGGCGGCGAGGGGAGCGACGGCGGCGAGGGGAGCGACGGTGGCGAGCCGGAAGAGCCGCGCATCGACGACTCGGGCACGTGGGCGTACTACGGCAACTCGCTGCAGGCGCTCGGTCCTGTGCTGATGGGCGATGTCGAGCCCGTGGATCAGTTTGTGGTCCGCAACGCGACGTACGATCCGGCGACGGCGCACGGCTTCCGCAAGACACAGATGTGGATCGGCCGCAACGGAACGGTCACGCCGTTGCACTACGACTCGTCGTACAACTTTCACGTTGTTGTCGCCGGCCGCAAGACCGCAGTCGTCTTCCCACCCTCGGCCTGGTCCGCCCTTGGCCTCTTCCCGCATCTCCATCCGCGGGCCAAGCAGGCCCGAACCGAGCTGTACTACCCGGGCGCCGGGCGCGTTGCGCCGTCTGCCGCTGAGCGGCGGGCGCTTGGCGGAGTCATGGGCTTTGAGGCCGAGCTGGAGGCCGGCGACGTGCTGGCCATTCCGCCGTTCTGGGGCCACGCGTTCATCACCACCTCGCCAGTGGCCATCTCGGTCAACGTGTGGACTAACTACCTCGACATCCACCTGCTTCCGCAGATCATGGCCGTGCCCATTCCCATGATCAGGGCCGATCCGGCGTCTCCGGCGGCAGTCCTCTCGATGCGGCTCTTCATCCGCGTACTTGTTGCCATTGCCCACGACGGTAACGGTGACGACACCTTTTTCCGCTCGCTGTACGACCAGCGCTACGCCCCGGTCGCGCACGAGTTGTCGTGGGCGGCCAACGTGGCCGCTAATGCGAGCAGCAGCATCAGCGATGCTGCCATCAACGGCCAAGCAGCTGCCGCGTCTGATGGCACCCGCCCACCTCGCACCACTCGCACTTTCTGCGAAGAGGCGCTCTCCGCCATGCCGCCTGCCACCTGCCGCGCCAGCTGGCTCCGCGAAGGCGACGACGCCGCCGCGGTATGCGACGGGCCCGACTTGGCCGCCGACGAGCTCTTTGCCACGCTCCGCCATCCGTTCATTGAGACTGCGTCCACAATCAAGAGCCTCATCGACGACGCCGTCCCCGGCGGCGTCCGCTCGTCCTCGGGCCTTATTGTGCTCGGCAACGTGGTCGAGACGCTTGCCCTCACCGCTGTTGACGGCGACGTCTACGATGTCGCGCCGTTTCTCCATGATCTGGCGTACTGCTAGTGTGGAAAGCATTTAATGGCGAGTGGAGCGCGGATCACTCGCGGAGGTTCTTGCGCCGCTTTCTGCTTCCGGAGGTGATGCTCGAAGTGGGCGCGTCGAACTCGTTGTCGAACTCGTCATCGAGCTCGTCGTCGACCCAAACCCGGCGCTGGGCCATGTGCCACAGCCTGTTGAGCGCGACAGCAATCGAGTCGCTGTCGTTGGCATTGTCGTAGCCAAAGTACCGACCGAGGTTGGTGAGCCAGCGGACGCCAAGGGCAAGCCGGCGATCACGCGGGACCGCGGCCCAGATGGCGTGGTAGACGGTCTGGAGTGTGGCATCGGGGTGCGTGACACTTTGCAGGTGTGCGGTCCAGGAGTACGGCAAATTGTTGCGCGCGTCGAGAATGTCCGTGAGCCTGACGTTGCCTGCGAGTGCGGTCTTTGCGCCGCGATCGCAGGCCGAGATGGCGGCCATATGGGCCAAGACTTCGCCGCGGTGCGCGGTCATCATAAACTCGCACATGAGCTCGCCGTAATCCGAGTCGGTGACCGGCTCATCGAGGCGATCGCGTTCGAGCTCCTGGGCGGTGAGCATGATGAAGATGTACGGGTACGGGATGCGGAAGGCCCAGAACGGGAGGTACGGCCCGCGCTTCTTCGGGAAGAAGTTGCCGAGGCCGTTGTAGTTGGCACAGTCGAGGCCAAAGGTGAAGACAGCCATGGGCAGGCAGCGATCAAAGACGCCGTGGACTCTAAAGTCGATGTCAGTGACGAGGTACCTCCGTAGATGGTTAAGCAGGATCGACCGGCACATGTCGACCACAAACAGGAGGTCAAGCCACCGAGTGTGGCAGGCAAAGGCCGACTTGAGCGACGACTGCGAAATGTCCACGGGAGCGATGAGGATGCCACTTTTGACAACGTCCATGAGGGTGACCGGCGGGATCTGGGCCGGACGGCGGCCGTCGCGGTACCGCTTGGTCCAGTCTGTGGAGATGCTGGCCGTCGGCGACTCCTGGGTCCCGTAGAAGACCATCATGATGACCATCATCCGGCGCGTGAGGTACGCCTGGGCAATGAGGGGATCAGAGCTCGAGGCGGGAGCCGGGTACTCGTCGCTCCACTTGAGGCCGAGCTGGGCAATCATCGAAGTGGTGGCCCAGGCGGCGATGGCCTGGGCGTGGTGGAGCACGTTGACAGGATCGACATTGTACAGCCGGACCTCGGACGGCGGAAGGAGCTGGCGGATGTTGGTCTGGTACGCGTTGACCCGCTTCACAAAGTCCCTGTTCAAGAAATGCGTCCACAGCGGAGTGGTGCCGGGCGGCGGGTTCATCTCGTTGGGCAGTGGCCACCGGAACTTTCGCGGATCGGGATCGAAGAACTCCTCGCGAATGCGCAGCCGGGTGGTCGCCTCCTCGAGGACCTGCAGCTGCTCCAAGTCCGCATGCATGTCCAAGGCATCGTCTGCCGCCTGCGGAGGAGTAGCCGGCAACACAGAGGCTCCGGCGATCTCGTCCAAGCTGAGAGGTGGCGGCGGGGGGTCAAACGTAAAGCTGATCCGAGCACCATCATCCACGGCCTTGCGCAAGTAGAAGCTCCCGTTGGTACGACCATGGTCAAGGTTCGGCCGTGTGGGTGTGTTGTGAAGGACAAACACGCCGTTTCCGATCTCTGGGTCGCTGGCGGCGGCGCGGATGAGCTCGATCCATGCCGTCTCGCGAGAATCGGGCATGGCGGTGACCGCGGCCTGTACCACTGCACCAAACTTGGCGAGCAGGCGGGGAATGAGCGCCGAGTCAGCGGCGAGAACCTCGGGCGGAATGATGCCTTGGAGCATGACGACAGGATCAGCGCCCGGGTCGTTTTCGAGCTTGCAGGCGAGGTCACCGACCCAGCCGCCCCACACCGCGGCAGTCTGCGTGCCGCCGTTGTACTCTACGACTGGGTGGCCGTCGCCGTAGACCGCCAGATGCAAACCGCAGATCTTCTTGGCGGCTGACCTGTCTCCGCCGACGGTCACTTTTTGCTTGGAGAGGCCGAGGCGGGTGCAGCCGGGGTAGCGGCAGCGGTGCTTGACGCACACGCCGCAGGCCGGCGTGGTGCAGTTTGGCTTGAAGCAGACGCCGCAGAACTGGGACTGGCCCTGCCGCGGCTCGGCGCAGCCAACGCACTTGTGCGCAGTGCAGAAGGCCGATGCGGGCATGACTGGACTGTCGCAGGCGTAGGCTATGCTCCACGGATGGGCGTTGTGGGCACACAGCCCACTGCTCGTGTGCCGAGCCACCGCCACATCGGCCGCTCCCAGGTCAAAGGTCGGGTCGAGGTCGTTGCCCACAAAGGGCATCTCTGAAGGAATTACCATGGCCATGGGTCGGACAGCGACCGGGATGGGGTTGACGTTACGGTCCATAGATGGCGGCGGTGTGAAGGTGTGAGTGCAGTGGTGCGCGTCCTCCGCCTGTGCGACTTGACCGCGGCGTGTTCCTTTTTGTGAAGAAAAGTGTGACGTTTACTGCAAACGTAGTACGGCGACAAGAATGGATGTGACGCCGTCTGACAGGCAGCTCTACTCGCGTGGGCGTGATGAGAGCGGCTTCTTGCTGCATGGCGGGATCGCCACTGTCTCTCTTGCTGCAGCGCCAAGTTGACGACTGCAGAGTTGAGCGCGTGCAACGTGTCAGAGGGTTCGGTGAACGCGAGCGGACGAAACAGTTTTCCCCGGCATTTCTCAAGATATAGGCCTCGTAGAGACTAGCCAACCATGCCAACAGATAGTTTGCATTGTACGCCACAGATGCTTATGCTGTACAAGCGAACGACGCCCTCATCTGCGCCGTGTCCGCTGATTCTCGGCCTGGGGCTGTTTCATAACAACTCACGATCTAAACTATATACTCATATGATTATATGGACAAAATAATATAAAAACAAAAGAAAGTACCAAAGTATCAAAATTTAAGTTTGAATTTAATAATATTACTATAAACCATTAAATATATTCAAATAATATATATGTATAGTTTAAAAACCGTATTTTTGCCTTGAGGTTTCAGCTACACTCGAGCCCTTGCCGTACTTATCTTCCACGCTTGCACTCCCCGCGCAACGTCTACGCACATGAAGCCACATGAACACGCCTGCTGCCTCAATATCTAGCAAGCTCGCTCACTTGCCGCCGTTGTTTAATGCTCGCAGCGCCACACGGGCCGTGTGTGGCACCGCCCTGTCTTTGGCTCTCGGGGAGCCTCGCCTGACAACATGTCGCCACACGGGCAGCTCGACCATCGACGCATGCTCGAGCCGAGCGCAGGGCTACTTATCAGAGGCGAACGGGCAGGCGGATGTGATCCTGCGTTTCACAACTCGCCGGCGCTGCGATTGACTGCCTGCTCCAAGCCGACAGGCGTTGCGACCCCGGTGTGGCCAGCAGCGAGGCAGCGACCGCCGCGGCCGCCAACGGCACACCGATGCCGTGGCTCTCCTCAGCATTTGCACGGCGTCGCATCTGTCAACCACACTCGGGCGCCGCACAGTGCCGCGTGGCCACTAGCCGGGCTTGGACCGCCCAGCTCTATCCTCAGCCGCTGCCGCCGCCCCTTGCGTGGGCGGCGGATCGGGAAACCAGCGCGGATTCCCGGCGCGCAGCAGCTGGCCAGCGAGCCGCCCTTCATCGGCATCCAGCAGCCGCAACAGCGCGCGTCCCGCAGCCATCCGCTCCTCGACTGCGGCCGAGCCGGGCGGTCCAACTGCGGCCGCGAGCTCAAAGGCCTCGCGCACATTAGCGCCGTGCTTGGCGGCGAGAACCGGGTGCGGCAACCGTGCCACCGCCCTGCGCAGCGCCCGGTACAGCCCCAACGCGCCGCCGTGCCACACTCTGCCCGCCATCTCTGCCCGTTCCCCCCTTGCCGTCTGCCGCGTCGAATAGCCAAGGGCGGTGTCCCCCTCCCTCGTCCGACTTCCCGCCTTCCGCCCGCGCCCGCCTTCCGCCCGCGCCCGCCTTCCGCTGGCACTGGCACTGGCACCTGGCTGCGACAGCGACCACTCCACCCCCCTCCAGACGCCACCCCCTCCACCCCTACCCCACCCCACCCCCACCCCCACCACTCACCCCACCCTCCACCATGCGCGCCTCCTCCTCCTCCTCGTCGGGGCGGACCGAGGCGTACCGCCCACCCCTCCCACCCACTGCGCGCCTCCTCCCTCCCTCCCTCCGTCGGGGCGGGACCGACGGCGTACCGCCACTCCGTACCGCCCCCGCCCCCCCCCCCCCCCCCCCCCCTCCCTCTCTCTCTCTCCCTCCCCCCCCCTCTCCTTCCCCACTCACCCCCCTCACAGCCGAGTTCAAGGCCCACGAAGCACCGGTCAACGCGCTAGCGCTGGGGACAAAGTCCGGGCGGGTGTATGCGTCGGGCGGCGACGACAACGTGGTCAACGTGTGGGCGGTCGGCTCATCGCAGAGCATCATGACGTTGCGCGGGCACTCGTCGCCGGTCGAGGCTGTGGCGTTTGACGCCAACGAGGAGGTGGTGGTGGCCGGCGCACTGTCCGGGACGCTCAAGCTGTGGGACTTGGAGAGCCAGCGGCTGGCGCGGACACTAGTGGGGCACAAGGCCAACTGCAAGGCCGTGGCCTTTCACCCGTACGGCGACATCTTTGCCTCGGGCTCGCAGGACACGAACGTCAAGATCTGGGACGTGCGACGAAAGAACTGTATCCAAACATACAAGGATCATTCGCAGATGGTGGGCGTGGTCAAGTTCTCGCCCGACGGGCGCTGGGTCATCTCCGGTTCGGCCGACGCCACCATCAAGGTCTGGGACCTGACCGCCGGCAAGCTCTTCCATGAGTTTGCCGCCCACTCGGGCGCCATCACCAGCCTCGACTTTCACCCGAAGGAGTTTGTCCTCGCCTCGGGCTCGGCTGACCGGACCGTCAAGTTCTGGGACCTGGACGCCATGACGCTCGAGTCGTCGTCGGCGCCCGAGGCCACCGCCGTCCGCTGCATCAAGTTCCACCCGTCGGGCGAGGCCCTGCTCTCGGCCTCGCACGACTCGCTCAAGGTCATCGACTTTGAGCTGCTCGAGGCCGACGGCTCGGCCTCGGTCCTCGACGTCGTCTGGGTCGCCTGGCCCAAGCTGGCCGACTTTGGCCTCACCGCCGCCACCCAGCTTGTCGGCTATCACTTCCACCACAAGGTCATCGGCGGCTGGCTCATCAACCTCGACAACCTCCGTCCCTTCCGCGACATTCCCGAGCTGCTAGCAAGCGCCGCAGAGCCGGTGGCCAAGGGCAAGGGCAAGGGCAAGGGCAAAGGAAAGGCCAAATCCAAGGACAAGGCCAAGGCCAAAGCCACAGCAAGGGCACATGCACTGGCACATGCATCCGCGCCCACACCCGCGACCGCCCCGCTTGACGTCTCTACGCTGTATCCTGCAGCGGCCGAGGCGGGCGCAGGCGCAGGCGCAGGCGCGGGCGCTGCCTCGAGCGGAGGCGGTCCACGGCGGGTGCCGCGGTCGCCGCGAGCGGCGCGGCAGGCGCGGGTGCCTTCTGCTCATCTCTCGTCGCCGAGTGCCGGCTTTCCGGCTCCAGCCGGTCCGGGTGCAACTCTGAGTGCAGCCAGCGCGCACGCATCGCCGGGTGGCGGCATCCCGTCATCGTTTTCGGCGCCGCTCGGGCTTGATCCTGCGGCCTTTGTGCACGCGCCGAGCGGGGTGCGAGCCGGACGTGGCGCTGGTGCTGGCACTGCGCTTGGCCCGCTACTGGAGAGCGGGCCGCCAATGCAGGCGGTGCTCTCGTCGCGGCTCCACTCGCTCAAGCTCGTGCGGGCGCTGCTTGCCGACGGGCGCGCGACGGCAGCGGTGGAAAAGCTGGTCGCTCTCAACGATGCCGCCGTCCTTGTCGACGTCCTTGCCACGCTCAACGGCAAGCCCAACTTTTACTCGCTCTCACACTGTGTGGCACTGCTGCCGCCGCTCAACGAGCTCCTTGCCTCGGCGCTCGACCGCCACGTCGCCGTCGCACTCCAGACCATCCACATCCTCATCGAGTCGTTTGGCCCGCTCCTCGTCACCCACACTCAGTCGCCAGTCGACGACATCGGCGTTGACATCTCCAAGGACGAGCGCCGCCAAAAGTGCGCCTACTGCCTCTCGGCCTTTGCCACCATGGTGCCCACCGTCGCCGCCCTCACCGCCCGCGACGGCGACATAGCTGCACGCGCCCACACCCTCCTCCTCTCGTTCGACGAGTACATTCCGCAGTAGTCCCCCCCCCCCCCCCTCGTTCGATCCATCGCCCCTCCCTCCCGCCCTCCCCTCCCTCTCCCCCCGCCGTTTTGGCTGATGTGTGTGCCACGTCGCCCCACGAGTGACATGCTCTCCCCCCCTTCGCCTCCCCCGCTACGTTCCGCACCCCTCTCACAACCCTCCCACCCCTACCCCCCTCACCCCGCCATGTCCGACCGCCTCCCATACACCCCGCCGTACGCACCAGGCCACCGCTCGGTCGAGTACCGGATCCCAGTCCCGACGTCGCTCGACGAGTACCAGAAGGCGCTGCACTACATGACCGGGCGGACGGCCAAGAAGGAGGTGGAGACCGGCGACTCGGGCGTCGAGCTCATTGTCTCGGAGCCGTTTGACGACCCGGCGCGCGGCGGTAAGGGCGTGTACACCGAAAAGGTGTACCACCTCGAGTCGCGCATGCCGGCTGTCGCCCGCAAGCTCCTGCCCAACTCGGCCAAGGTCGTCCATGAGTTCTGCTGGAACGCCTTCCCCAACATCCGCACTGAGCTCCACGTCCCGTTCTTCAAGAAGGCCTCGGTCATCATCGAGTCGCGCCACGTCGAGGGCCTCGACGTGCCCGACTCGGTCTTTGCCGACGCCGAGCCGTGCCCGTCCGACACCCCGGTCGTCGTCCTCAACATCGCCTCGGATCCCACGCCCGAGAAGGATGCCTGCGACGAGGAGGAGCCCTCGCTGGTCTCATCCGCTACCACCGGCCGCCTCCCGCTGGCCCGTGACTGGCTCGACACCGCCGCCGCAGGCACCGCTGCCAAGGACACCCCCTACATCACCGTCTGCAAGCGAGTCATGCTCACCTTTAGCTACACAGGTGTCCAGAAGAAGGGCGAGACCTCGGGCCTCGACTCGTACAAGCCTATCTTCCTCACCACCCATAAGCAGCTGGTCTCCTGGATCGACGACTGGTTCCCCATGACGCTCGAGGACTGCCGCAACTTTGAGATCGAGATCCTCGAGCAGCTCGAGGCCTCCAAGTCCAAGCCTGAATCCTAACGTAGCCCCCCCCACCCCCCCACCCATGCCACCTCCACCCCCCCCCCCCTCCACCCCCCGTCAACCATCTCCACAGGAGCATGTCGTCCGGACCCGGAGGAGACCCGGATGCCGATCTGATGCTGGCCATCGAACTGTCCAAGTCATCGTACGCCGAGGAACAGGCTAACAAGCCGTCGTCGGACGGTGGTGGCGAGAGGTCGCCGCCGCCTCCATCGCCGACGTCTGCTTCCTCGGGCAAGACTGCTGCACGCATTTCGCCGCTCTCCACTGCACTGGACGAGTTGGTGGCCTTTCTCAAAGAGGCAGACCTTCTGGCTGCGCTCGTCTGGTCGCCGCCCAAGGTCAAGGCCCACATTCATCCGCTGCTCCTGGTCATCCAGGCCACGCCCGAGCCGAACGTCGACCAGCTCGAGTACATCACGGCGCTGGTCAATCTCTTTGTCTCCTCGCTCCTTGCTGCAGACTTCTCCAAGCTCGTCCGCGGCCGCAGCGATGCCGGCCACGAGCTGCTGGCCCAGTTTGTCCGCGAGCTTGTCGCATGCCTCGCCTCGGCTGTTCTTGGCTACCTCGAGTACACCTCGTCGGACACCTTTGCCGCCTTTGCTATGACTGCCGGCGCCAACGACGCCGACCCGTTGCGTGCCCGCCTTGATTTGGCCGCTCGTGTCGCCGCCATCCGCTCGAGCCTCCTCGTCCTCCTCACCACCCTCACCTCGCCCAAGGTTGTCATTACCAAGGGCGCACTCGCCCGTCTCCGTCTCGACTTTAAGGCCCAGCCGCCGGCCTTTGACGACGCCGAGTACACCGACGCCACCGCTCCGCCGCATGTCACCCTCCTCGACCTCGACGCGTACCTTGCCGAGAGCCCACAGTCGGCCACCCGCGCAAAGTGGAAGGCACCGGCGCGCTGGAAGTCGCAGGCCTCATCCGCCGGTGATCCGGGCACAGGGGCCGAGTCGGCTACTACCGTGTCAGGCGACGCCTCCTCGGCAGCGCCTGCCAGCCCTACACTCAACAATCCGCTCGCTGCCAAGCTCGCTGCACTCGTCCGCGTCCTCCCTCCGGCACCCGAGTCTGGCCTCGCCTCGCCTCTCGCGGGCGCTGGGCAGGCCGGATCAGGGTCCTCGGCTGGCGCGGGAGTCGCAGACACTACCGAGCCGGCCGACGGTGCTGCCGCGGCTGCCGCGGCGAGCACTCCGCCGCTAACTCGCGCGCTGCTTCTCACGGAGACTGCGGCCGTAGTCTTTGGCGAGCTCCGCGGTGTTGCCCGCCTCCTCGGCATGTGTCTTGCACTCCTCTCCTCCCCGCCTCCGCTCGACGACCCGGTCGCTGCTGTTGAAGCCTCGTCGCTCGTCGACTTTGTCGTTGCCACCGTCGAGCTCGGCGGAGCCGTTCCCGACGCTTTCCGGTCGCCCGACCACGCTCTTCGGGCCGCTGCGCTTGCGCTTGCCCTCGTCGACGTCTACGAGGCCTCGCTTGCCGCCGCCGCCGCCCGCGCCGAGGTTCCGAGCTGCGACGACGCCGTTGCTGCCGACGCCGACGGCCTGGCCGCCGCCAATGCCACTGCCAGCTGGCACGGCTCGCTAGTCGCGCCCGACACACTTGCTGCCGTCCTCGACTTTGCCGCCGTCCACTGCGACTCGCGGGTCCTCGCCACCAACACAGCACTGGCCCTTGGTCTCCGGATCCTGCTCTCGGGCCCGCGCGGCGCAGGCGTGTCGCTCGCTGCGCTCGACGGACCCGCCCTTGCCGCCTGGCAAGGCCCGCGGTCGCTCTTCCTCAACGCCGAGCTCCTCCGCTACGGCACCTCGCTCATTCTTGCCGAGCTCTCGCGCCCGCCCACTGCCGCGCTCTCCATCCCGGTCTTTTCGCCGAGCGCCCCGGCCTCGGCCCTCGAGCTCCTGCCCGGCCTCACGCTGGACCTTGCCGAGGCCCACAGCCCGGCCGAGCTCACTGCCACGCTTGCGCCGCTTCTCCTCGACAGCGCGCTTGTCGTCCTGCTTCTGGCTTACGCTGCCGAGCCTACCGCGCCGAATGGCGGCGCAGATACGTCGGAAGGCGCAACCAGTTCGATGCTTGCATCTGCGGCTTCGCCCAAGACGCCTGCCTCGCAGTTGTCATCCGGCGGCCCGCCGCCGCCTCCACCACCGCCGCCGCCGCCGACCATTCCGGCCTCGCGCGTTGCCCACAAGCGTCGCGACCGCGACGACGATGATGAAGACAGCGACGACGTTGACATGTTCTTCGGCGGCCTCTTTGACGACGACTCGGAGGACCCCGCTTGTGAGGGAGAGTCCAAGGACGCGGCTGCCGCGGCGTCGGTTGCTGCGACCAGCGCGCTTGCTGCCGGTCCGCCGGCCGCGCCCGCTGTCCGCTGCCTCTTCACCTCGCGCGCCATCGCCCGGTTTGGCGACGCGCCGAGCAGGGCCTCCATGGCGGCCGCTGCCGCCGCCGATGCTGCCGTGCTCGCTCGCCACCTGCACTCGCTCCTTGTCCGTCACATCTTTGTGGCAAAGGATGCTCTCGGAGAGCTCACCCCACTCGGCCGTGCGTTGGCCTCCGCCGTTGCCGAGAACAGCGTTTTTCACAAGGCCCACCTCGACGCCATCCTCCTCGTTTGCGCCTCTTGCGCTGCGCCTGTTCCGGGCTCTGCCGTCGCTGCAACCGACGCTACTGCGGAGCAAGGCAAGGCGGGTCTGACGACTCCGCTCGTCTCGGCCGGGCCTCTGCGGACAGCGTTCCGGCTCCTCACTCAGCACGTGGTCGCGTACGGCTTCCTCACGCCGCCGCTCGTCGACGCCGCCCTCGACGCCGCAGGCCTTGCTGCCGGCATCTGGCCGCTCAACATGTCCACCGAAACCCTTGTCTTTGTCACGCGGGTCATCGTGTATGTCCTCTCGCCGCACTCGACACACGCATCCACCGCCGCAAGCCTCGCGCCTCGCGTCTGGACCTCCTTTGCCGCTTCGCTTGCCGCAGCCTCGGCTGGCGCGCTCGCGGCATCGGCGTCGGCTTGGGAGCTCCACCTGCCGCGCGAGGCTAGCCTCGTCCTTCTCCTCGTCTTTGCGCTCCTTGAGCGCGAGGAGCAGGCCAACTACCTTGGCGCGGTCGCCGATGTGGTCGTCGACCTCTCTGCTGCTTCGAACGCTGCGCCGGCGCGGGTTCTTTTCCTCGGCCACCTTGTCCAGCTGTACGAGGCCATGGCAAGCCTCGCGGCGTCGGCAAGCGCCGTAGACAAGCTGCCGTCGTGGCTCGTCGAGGTCGTGACTGGCGAGGTCCTCGGCGCCACCCCTGGCGCGCCTGCCTCGGTCGCCTGGCCTGCCCCGCTCGCCGCCCACAACGCCGACTCGCTGCAGGCTCTTGCCGATGAGCTCGACGCGGCCAACGAACTGTACCCTCCGTTTTCGGCAGTCTTCTTTGAGCTCCTCCCGCCGGCGCTCACCCGTGACCCGTCACCGCTTGCAGAGCTTCCGTCCGCCGCCTACGGTGCCGCCTCGCTCCTGACCTTCACGCTGCGCTCGAGTCGCTCCTCCTCGCTGTGCCTGCTCCTCTGGCGGCTGCTCCCTCGGCGGCCTTTTCGTCGCCGAGCACACGAGCTCACTCGCATGGCGCCTCCTCGGCCGCCTCCCAGCGCCGCCGCAAGTTCTCCTCCCGCTCCTTGCCGAGCCGGCCGCGTTTTGGGCGGACGTCCCGCGCGATCTTCGCGGCGCACACGCTCTCCGCACCCTTGCCCGCGTCATGACGCTTGACGCCGGCGTGCCCCCGGAGACAGTTGCCAACTTTGATATCACCGCCTCGCTCGACGCCCTCTTTGCGCTCTATACCTCGCTCGCCAACGCGCCGTCTGATGCGCTCGCTCCAGGTGGCTCGCGCTTTGCCCACTTTCTGGCCCTCTGGCTCGAGACCGTGCTCGGCCTCGCCGCCGGCCCGGCCCCGTCTGCTGATGCTGACGACGCCACCGCTGCTCGCGCCGCCGCCTTTCACGCGGCACTCACGTCGTACGTCGACTCGCACGCACCGCAGCTCCTCAACGCCTCGGTTTCACTCATTCAGGCCACGGCCACCGCCTCGCGCGAGCTGGTCCTCTCGGTCCTCTCCTCGCCACCGGACGCAGCCGACCTTGCCCCGGGCGTGCTCGACTCCAAGGTTCGCGCTCTCGACGCCATCATGACTCTTGGCTCGACCAAGGCCAAAGTCAAGTCGGTCATGTCACGCGCAGGCTTTCCGGATGATCTCTGCACCGCATTGAGCACCTGGTCCGACTTTCGGGGCTCGCGTCTCGCCACGCTCTCCGGCTTTGTCGACGTTGAGCTCGACGCGCCGGCGCCGGCGCCGGCTGCGTTCCAGACCCCGTCGGGCAAGGGCGTCCGCAGCACGTCGTCTGCTCCTCCCGCCTCACCGGCGCCGAGCAAGTCGAGCTCGCTGGCACCGGGCCTCCGCGCCGAGGCTCGGCCAGCCCCGTCGGACGAGAATGCCTGGGGTCTCCTTGCCCTGCCACAGCCGGCGGCCATGGCCGCCGCCGCACTCTCGGGCGCTCTCCTCCCACCGCCCACTGCCTGTGCCGCCAAGGTGGACGCAGGCCGGCTCTCGCGCCTCCTCACGGCCCTCGTCTCACTACTCAGCACTGTCACCGACGTGCTCGAGGCGACCAACGAAGCCTCGCTTGCTGAGCTCGACGTCATCGCCACTCACTTACCGGACCTGCTCCCACCGCTTCTTGACTTTGTCTTTGACTCGCGCTTCGACTTTCTCAAGCAGGGCGTCCGATCCATCATCGAGTCGCTCCTGCCGACCACCGAGCAGTTTACCAACACTGCCGACCTTTTCAAGCTCCAGCGCCTCGAGCGGCTCTTCACCGACGTGGCTGTCGCTCAGGGCGACACTGCCGCCGTGCCGGCCACGCCCGTCGCCGACACGGGCGCCTCTTGGGCTGTCCACATGCATGCCGGCGGCTCATTTGCCGCCATCGAGCCGATCATCCTCGACGCGCTCACCTACTTTGAGAAGCTCGCCAAGTGCTCGCGCGCCCGCAACGTCGGTGTCTTTTACTCGGTCATTGACGCCGAGGCCGCGACCGCGCCCGAAGGCGCCGCCCCGCGCTTCCCAGCCGGCGTCGACCTTCCGCGTGGCTCGCTCGCCCCGCTCCTCAAGCTCCTCATCCACAACACCTCGCTTGACATTAACCGCACCGCGCTGCAGTACCTGCTTCTGCTCCTCTCCCAGACCCACGGCGACCTCATCAAGGCCGACCAGCGTTCCGGAACCAAGAAGAGCAAGCTCGCCCGCCTCCGCAGTGCGTCGCCGGCCTCGTCACCGCGAAGCTCCGGCTCCGGCCCCGGATCCGGCTCCGGTCCCTCGCTCTCTGCTGATGAGCTCGCCGCGCCGGTCTATTTTGACTACGTCCTCGCCTCGCTTGCAAGCCTGGAGCCGGCAGGGCGCCGGACGTGGTTCGCAGAAAAGCTGCTTGGCACTCTAGTCGCACCTGTGGCGGCCGACGCCGAGCCGACGGTCGCAGCCCCGCCACGCGAGCTCCGCGCCCTCACCGCCCGCTTTATCCGCCGCCTCGTTCGCATGGGCTCATCCGCGGCCGCCCGCGCCGCAAGCGCCACCGAGCCCGATCCGTCGCCGACCTCGGGCACATCGCCGGCGTCGACCGTCACTAACACCGTCCAGTCGCTCCTCGACTCACATCCATCCGAAGCCGGCCAGCTCGTCTTTGACGCACTCCTCGCTTCGCTCGATGACGCCTTTTCCACCTACGCCGGGTGCGCACAAGAGTACTTTTACCTTTTGCAGGAGCTCGCTCTTGCCCAGAACCAGCTTCCGACCCTGCTCGAGGCCGTCGTTGCCCTGCTCAAGGTGTGGAACGCAGCGCCGGACCCGACGGCCGTCTTGCTCTCCACGCCGCGGCTGCAGGGCCTCGGCATGCTCCTCGACTTTGTTCGCGAACTCATGCTCCTCTGCAAGCAGCACGCGCCACTACAGTCGTCTAACATGGGCCGCTCCGTCTCGCTCGAGAACATTGCCGCTCTCGCCGCCATGCGCTCCGGTCTTGCCTCTCCCAAGACCCCGTCGAACCGCCCGCTCCCGCCCATGGCGCTCTCCACGCCAATCCGTCCGGCTCAAGACTCGGCCGCACTCGCCGCGCTCGCCGAGGCAAAGGACGGCATCCTCTCCGACCTCGCTTCGGAGCTCACCCAGGCCTCGTCGGCCGTCGCTCCCGACGCCGAAGACGCCCTGCTCGAGTACCGCATGTCACAGCTGGCCCAGCTCCGCTCCGATGTGACCGCAAGCCCGGGCAGCGGTGCCACCGACAGCTCTCGCCCCGCATCTGATGGCCCGACCCCGCTGACGTTTGGCGGCCAGTCCAAGGCCGAGCGCGAGGCGCAGGAGCTCGCGAGCCTCTGCTGCACCTTTAAGGATACCGGCACAGACTACTCGCAGCAGCATTGGTACTACTGCTACACCTGCTCGCTCGTCTACTCGGAGGGGTGCTGCTCGGTCTGCGCGCGCGTGTGCCACGACGGCCACGATCTCTCCTACGCCCGCTACTCGCGTTTCTTCTGCGACTGCGGCGCCGGCGCCGGCCGCGGCGGTGGCTGCATTGCTCTCCACCCACGCGAGTACGTCCCCGGCCTCGCCGACGCCAAGGCCAAGGCCACTGCCGGCGACGACCGCGACGACCGCGACAACGCCGAGACCGGCCCGCCGCTCACCCCATCGTCCGCCCGCTCGCCAAACAAGGACCCGTTCCGTGGCCTCGATACCTCCAAGCTCGAGGCCGAGATGGAGGCGCTCTCGCTCGCGTCGCAGATCTCACAGCACGCCCGTGAGCCGCTTGTCCGGCTCCTCAAGGACGAGGGCACTGCCTCGGTCGTCCTCCGCCTTGCCTCAGCCCTTCTTCTCGCCGCGAAGGACGCCACCGCTGCGGCTGCCGCGGCAGCCACCCAGGGCGGTGCGGGGTCGGCAGCGACCGCGTCTCACTCGGACGTCCTGCCCTCGTACCTTGAGTCGGACAAGTTCAACGCGTCCGCGTCCGTGACCAAGGCCTCGTCGTCGATCCTCTTCCAGCAGACCCACACCTCGTCGGGCACTTTTACGCCACAGTTTCAAGAGTCCGAGTCGCGCGCCACCGCCGAGCTCATCCAGCAGGCTCTCATCAAGCGCGCAGTGGTTGCTTTTGATCCTGCGAGCCGCATGGCGTACGCGGAAGGCGCTTGTGTCGTGCTTGCTGACGGCACTGCCCTTGGCTCTACAGAGTCCTCGTCGTCGCTCAACAAGTCGGCGCTCCCGCAGCTTTGCTCGACCAACCTTGAGTTTGAGCCGTTGTACATGACGTTCAACCCCGCGGCGCCGGCCTTTCTTGCCGTCGCCGGTCTTCGCAAGGCCGCAGTTGTCACCTACAACGCGTCTGGCACCGCCGTCGACATTCTGCCGATCATGCTCTCGCTTGAGCTCTTTGGCGGCTCGCTTGTCATCCTCGGCGTCCACTGGGTGCCAGGCTCGGAGACCAAGCTTGTTGTCGCCACCAACCAGTGGGTCAAGGTCTACGACCTTTCATCGGACACCTTTGCGCCCATCAACTACTTTTCCATGGATGGCATCGACAGCATTCGTGACATTACCGTGACCACGGATCCAGCGGCGGACGTCCCACTCATGTTCATCATCACTGGGCGCGGGCTCATTTTCAAGCAGCAGATTTTCGACGCTGCCGACGGCGGCGAGTACATCATCACCGACGCCGTTGCCATCGAGCCCTCGGTCCGCTCCAACAAGGGTATCGCCATCGAGTACTCAACAACGCTCCGCGTTCTCTTTGCCTCGTACGGCAACGGCTCGGCGTATGCCTACCGCCTCGACGAGTCAATGGGCATCGCCTACGAGGCCCTCGAGCTCAAGAACTCGTCGTCGTTTGACTCGCCCTCGTTCTCCTCGGGCTCGTCTAGCTCGTTCTACTCGTCCAAGAAAAAGTCGCGCTCGCTCCCGCTCAATCCGACTATCGATACCTACTCGCGCTTCATCGAGCTCCCACAGTACCGTGGCCTCGTCCTTGCCCTCTCCAAGTCGGGCTTTGTCCCGGTTGTCTTTCTCTTTGAGGGCAGCTCTGTCACATACCAGAAGCTCTCGTGCAACTCGACGTCGTACATTGTTGGCTGCGCCCCGTTGGTGCCCAAGGTCGATGACCTCTCGGCTTACGCACCCGGATTCTCCATTCTCCAGGACGACGGCACCCTCTCCATCTTTGCCCTCACCAACTCGCAGCGCTCCAAGCTCCGCGCCCTCAAGTACGGAAGCCAATCAAGCGCGAACAGCGGCTCGGGCCAGGCTGGAGGCAAGTCATCGGCCTCGGGCGAGGCCTCGAGCTCCAACTCTCGCGGCCGCATCTCGCGTGGGGAGCTGGCCATTGGCCGCCGCACGCTTCGCTCGCGCTCCAAGTCTGGGGGCAAGGGCTCGCGGAACGACAGCAGCAACAGCAGTGGCGGCGGCGATAGCGTCGACGCGGCTTCCAGCAAGTCCGGAAAGACCGTCTCGTGGAATGTTGCGACCGATGGTGGTGACTCGGGGCTCGCGCCGGCGTCGCGTCTCTCAGACGCAGCGTACGACCCAGCAAAACTCTCGGTATTTGGCGCACTCGTCGAGACTTACCGACAGGCCACCGACCGTGACGACGAAGACGATGCTGTCAGCAGCTCGGCCCGTGGCCCACAGGGCTCGGGCTCGGGCTCGGGCAAGCACTCGAGCAAGCGAGGCAAGAAGAAGACAAAGAAGGGCCCCGGGAGCTCCGGCAGCTCCGGCGGCTCGGGCACTGAAACCGACGACGACGATGCCAGCTCGTGGCCCTCGCTTCCGGCCACGTTTTTCGAGGACAAGCGCCGGGTCACGTCCAGCGTCACCTTTACCGGCGATCTTCCGTCAGGCATGTCGTCGTCCGAGGCTCATTCGCGGCTGACGTCGACCGACAACTCGCTCGTTGCACCGTCGACCACCATGCGCCTCACGGTGGCCATCAACGACTCGTCGGTGGTTCTTTGTGGTGTCCGCATTCTGCTTGGCAACTCGGACCTTGCCGCTATCCCGCAGCATGTCAAGGTCCACGGCCGGACCCTCAAGACCAAGTCTGACGTCCGCCGTTGGTACGACATTCCGTTTACCCTCGACGAGTCAGTCCAGTCCGAGTCGCAGTTTGAGATGGAGTTTGGCGCGCCGGCTTGCTCGGGCTACTCATCGGTTCATCCTGCTGTTGACCAGATCGAGGTCTACGGCCTTGCCAAGTCGGACTTTGACTATGAAGCTGCGTTGACCGCCGCCGCTGAAAAGGCCGCCGCCGCCGAGAAGGCTGCCTGCTCGGCTTCCGCCAACTCCGCCGCCGACTCGGCCGCCGCGAATGCCGGCAAGCCCGAGGTTGTCTCACAGGTCGAAACTGTTGCCCAGTCGGCTCTTGCCATCCTCTCCGAGTACTTTACGCTCGCGCTCACCTCGTCGTCGCTGCTCATGGCCGACCCGCTGCGGGCAGACATTCTGGAGCGCCTCCCCGCACTGCTTGCCGCCCACTCGACAGGCCCGCTACATGTGCCGCTCAAGGCGTTGCTGCGGGCAACGCACGGCTCAGCCGACGCCTACTACCGTTCGTCCGACCATGTCATGCTCTCCAATCTGGCGGACGAGCTGGCGGCGGCGACCGTTGCGGGCACCGCTCTACCACCGGCCGTGCTCGAGGCCCACATCAGAACACTGCGCAAGCTCTCAAACCATCGGCTCTCGAACCTCTCGCTCTTCCTCCTCCGCTCGCCCACGGTCATCGACGCCGTCTGCCACGCCTTTTGGGCTGTGGTCGACTCGGCTCCCGGCCTGGCGGCTTTCGAACTACCCGAGGATGTGGCGTCGGGCCTTGCCGAGGTTCTTTACGGCTACGCCCTGCATCTCAACGCGCTCTGCAGCGTGCCGGCCGAGGCCGTCACGGCCGTTGCACCGGCCTTTGTCCACCTGCGCAAGCTCCTGCTCACGCCCCACTCGCGAACTCTACGGGCAGTCACCGCCCGCTCGCTGGCATCGATCGGGCGGACCGCGCTTGATCCAGAGCTCGCCGCTGCTCAGGGCGATCCCAACGAGCTTTCAGTGGCGACAGCCGGTGCTGCCCTCGATGCCCTCTACCGCTCGACTGAAGGCAAAGCATGCGATGGGTGCGGGACGAGACCCATCGTCTCTGTCCGCTTCCACTGCGCACAGTGCGTCTCGTTTGACCTCTGCGCCGGCTGCGCCGCCGCCCATGCCGCGCCCAAGGGCTCGGCCGGCCCGGCCCGCACCGCGCTCGAGGCCAAGGCCGAGCTTCGTGGCCACTCATTCGACCACAACCTTGTCGAGGTGCCCATCTTTGGCGAACTCCCCACGCTCGAGAGCTTCCTCGGCAGCCTGGATGCCGAGTCGGACGCTATGGCAGGCGCCTCGCTGGCCTTTGGCACTGGCCTTGCAGCTGACCTTCCGCGCCACATTCTCACCCACCTCCTTGACTCGGTTGCCGAAGCGGTGGAGAGTGGGCTGACGACGCCGGATGCTGCACTCCGCGGCGACCAGCTAGTGCCGCTGCTGCAGGTTGTCTACGCACTCGCGTCAAACGGTCTCCGCGACGTGTGGAGCGACCTCGATGAGCTCTCGCCGGCACTCTCGCGAGAGGTCCTTGCTCACCGCATGTCGATCTTTGTCTCCAAGGTTCTCCCGCCGCAACTCGCACAGTCTGTCGACAGCCTCGCCCCGCACGAGGCCACACCGCTCGGCGAAGCTTACCTCCTCTCGATCTCGCTCGTCACGCTGCTGACCTCGGACCGTGAGACGGTGTTTGCACTCGCGGCCGAGGCTGCCAACTCGGGCTCGACCTCAAACGACGCCGAGCTGACATCCGAGCCGGTGTCCGGCGAGGCGGCGACGTCGTCATCGTCTAAGCGCGGCGGCCTGGTTGTCGACACCTCTCGCGACCAGGTCCATGTCATGGACAAGGCGCGCGAGTCCCGTCGATTCAAGGCCATGCACGACGCGCTCGACGCGCTTGTCGGAGCTGTTGCCACCTCGCCGGCGGTCACCACCGCCGTCGCTGTCCTTCGCAAGCTCCTGGAGACTCGCTTCCTCTCGCGCTCGCCGGACGCACTCGAGGCCTCGCGTGCATCGCGCGGCAGCGTGGCGCACTCGATGCCGGGCGCGCTGCTCAAGTCGGCGCCCAAGGTCGAGCCAGTGTACCCGCTCTCGCCGTTCTTTGCTGAGGACTTTGTGGCGAGCAGGTGCAAGTCAGGCAAGGCTGATGCGCTCTTTGCCGACTTTTCTGACCTTCTTGCTCGCGGCCTTCTCAAGTTCCTCGGCTCACTCTTCCCGATTCGCGACCCAGGCGTTCCCGAGACCAAAGTCGACGAAGCCGGCAAGGGCGAGGGCGAGGGCGAGGGCGAGGGCAAGGGCAAGGATGATGCTGAATCCGAAGCCAGCGCCGAGGCCGAGGCCGAGCCGGTCACCCGCGACGCGGTCGCAGCCGAGTTTACGCAGGCCTTTGCAGGCTTTGTGTGGGACGAGGTGACACTCGAGCCAAGCTCACCAGTGGTTGCTGCGCTTGCGGAAGCCGACGTCCTCGACCTGCTCTGCGCCTATGTGGAGACGCCGCAGACCGCGTTTGCGCGGATGGATGCCAAAATGGTGCTTCTCTCCGTGGCCGGTTCGATCAAGACTCTTTACCAGCTCCGCGACCGGTATGCGCTGCAGCAGGCCGAGGCAGCGCTCGACGCGCTTGCTGCGGCCTCGCACAACTTTGACGACGAGCTGCCGTACGATGCGACAGTCACCTTTATCCAGACGACCAAGGCCATGCTCGCCATTGCCGCGGCGCGGCCGGCCAACTGGCAGGCGTACACGGCGTCGCGACCGGCACTGCTGGCCCGGCTACTGGGCGTGGTGCCCAAGGTGCCGCACGAGACATGGGAGACTCTGCTCCAGTTGGCTGTCCTTGCCCTTGTCTCGCTCCCGCTGCTGGAGGCGCTGAAGGCCAAGGCAGCCGCAGCGGGCGGAAGTGACGTCGACGAGAGTGATGGCGATGCGGCGCTGGGCGACTTTGACCTCTACGCACCGGCTGGCCTCACCACCGAGAGCCTGACCGGACTTGGTCGCACAGCGCTCAAGGCGTGGCAGGCGAGCACCACGAGCGCTAAGCCTGGCGACGGGCTCAACGTCTCGGTCTTGGTGCCTACCGCCGAGGGCATTCCTGTTGTTCCGCTTCCGCGTGGCGCGCTGCTCGCACTCGATGGGGTGCAGGACGAGGTCTCTGACCTTGTCGACGCGCTCCTCCTGCATACCAACCAGGGGAGCATCCGCGCACACGCGCGCAACTTTTTGCACTGGCTCTGGCACTCGGCGTCGGACGAGCAGCGACTGGCGCTGTTTGAGACACTGGCGGCCAAGCTGCAGTTTGTCTCGGCGTACGGCCGGAATGGGCTCGAGTACACCGAGCTCATGACGTTTGTCATCGGCGAGCTCGAGCTCGATGCCGAGGCCACGGCGAGGCCCGGGGCGCTTGTGCCGTCGCAAACGTCGATGGAGTGCTTGTACGACGCGCTCATGTCTGGCCTCTCGGTGCAGAACGCGCTTGTTGCAGACCATCCCAACTCGCACATGTACCGCACGCTCTCTTCGCTTGTCGACTTTGACGGCTACTATCTCGAGGCCGACCCGTGCCTGGTGTGCAATGACCCAGAGGCACCGTTCTCAGGCGTTGCGCTCGACGACCTCAAGGCCGAGAGCAAGTCGACCGACTCGACGGTGGTGGTCCGGTTTGAGCGGTCGATGGACATTTCGTTTGTGGCTGTCCGCATTGGCGAAGGCCGGCAGTCGGGCAAGTCTGTGGCGCTCATCAAGCTCTACTACAACAACAAGCCAGCGGACATGATGGAGCTCAAGAACAACGAGTCGCTTTGGACGTCTACGCTCTCGATCAAGGTCCCTCGCGGAGCGTCGGAGGCCAAGGTCGAGCTCCCTATTCCGGTCACGGCGCTCAACTTTAAGCTCGAGTACGCCGAGCTGTACGACAATGTTCGTGCGCTCGCAAACGAGCGGCTGATGTGCCCGCGGTGCTCGCGGCCAGTGAGCGACCGGCACGGCGTGTGCTCCAATTGCCACGAAAACGCGTACCAGTGCCGGCAGTGCCGCAACATCAACTACGAGAACCTCGAGGCCTTTCTCTGCAACGAGTGTGGCTACTGCCGCTACGGCCGCTTTGACTTTATGTTCCTTGCGAGGCAGAGTTTCTCGGCTGACAAGATTGTCGACGACGACGACTACCGCAAGGCGCTGGAGACCATCGACCGCGAATCGGCCAACGCGCATCGGCGGTACAAGCAGATGCTCGAGCTCAAGGCACCGATGGCTTCGCTGGCGCAGGCCATTCCCGACCCGTCGCTCTCGGCTGCCGACGTCCTGCGCCCGCTCGTGGGCTCATCGGTTGCTGCACATCTGCCGTCGAGCATCACGAGCTCGGAGAGCAAAAAAAGCCCTGGTGTTAACTCGAAGATCTCGGCGCTCGCAGAGATGTACGGCAAGTCGTGCAAGTCGGCGTTCAACTCGCTCTCGCACTCGGTGCAAACGCTGCTGGGCACGCGACGCGAGCTGGTGGCGTACCTCAAGCGGAGTGCAAGCGGGCGGAGCGGCGCCAGCCGCAAGTCGCACAGCGTCCAGCTCCGCTGCACCAACGAGTGCTTTGGCTGTGGCAACGCGTTTGTGTCCAACGCGCTTGCGCTGCTCGAGGAGCTGGCGACTAAGAAGTCGGCGCGGTCAGCCCTCGTCGCCCGCGGCGTCATCCAGGAGCTGGTGGGCAACAACCTGCACCAGGGCTCAGCCGATGCCCGTGGCGATGCCCGCCGCGTTCTCACTGCGTACGTGCAGGACAACGAGGAGGGCACGGCCCTTGTCAACGATCTCCTCCGCAACAAGCTCAACTTTGTCCTCTCGTCGCACCGGGCTCTCGACGTGGCGGCGGTGATCAAGAACGAGATGCAACTCCTCCGCGATGTGTGTCTGTTGGAGGACTCGTGCTGGGAGTCGCGGCTGCGGCTGACAATGGAGACATTCTTCTCGGCGGTCAAGGTGGGTGCCTCGTCGCCGATCCTCACCCAGTCGATCATCCTGCCGTGCCTCCGCATCGTTGTTGCGCTCTGCTCCGAGCCTGGCGCCGCAAGCGAGGCTGGGAGCGACGAGGCTGGTACGAGCGCCCGGGACAAGTCACCGGCGCCGTCACAGGCTGCTGCGCTTGACGGCTCGAATCAGAACCTCGATCTCGACGCGTTCATGGTGGAGCAAATCTTGACCTCCACGCCCGATTTGAATCCCGACGACTTGCCGCCGGAGATCCGAAGGAGTGTGATGCGGCTGATGGCGAGGCGGGGCTTGTCTGGCCGTGACGCCGCCGGCGGAAGTGAGCCGACGAGCGAGGTCGAGGCCGAGGCTGAAGCTGAGGCCGAGACCGGAGGTGACGAGGTTACCGAGCTCGCGACGACAACTGCGGCTGTCGAGGGTGCGCCGCGAGTGTCGTACGGCGCGTGGGCTAGCGGGAGCGAGGACTACAGCTCGTGGCGCGAGGGCTTGGCGAGCGAGGGAAGGCGCGAGCGTGCGATGGGCAAGACAAGCGTGCGTGCGCGGTACCTCGCGGAAAAGTACGTAAGCAAGTGGCGGGCAGCGATGGGCCGCCCGCCTGTTGTCTCGCCGCTTGCGGCTTTTGCGGAGCAGTCATGGGTGGCGACGCTCCTCCTCTCGCCGTGCTCTGTTGAGGTGCGGGCCGAGACTGTGCGGCTGATCAACTCGCTCTGCGCCGAGTCTGAGGACCGGACGTTCCGGTTCCTCGACTTTGCGACCAACTTGCTCGGCGAGGCCGGGCGTGCGGGCGACGCGTCAAAGGAGCTCTTTGGGCTCGTGGAGGCGCTGGTCAATTCGGAGGCGCAAATTTGCTACCTGACGGCGCGCGGGTTCCTCTCCAAGCTCGCGCAGTTTATTGTGGATGAGGTTGAGCGGATCCGATCGCTGGAGACGCAGCTCACGACGGACATTGCACAGGGCTATGTGCTCAAGTTCCTAACGAACCTGCTTGTGCGGTTTGTGGCTGTGGCACCTGTGCGGGCGCGGTTCAAGAGCGAGCAGCTCATTGTGCATGTGCTCGACGCATTCCTATCTCTCCGCGGGCTCATTGTGCAGAAGACCAAGCTGACGGAGGACGCTGCGGTGCAGCTGCAGAAGCTCATTGGCGACCTCAACGCGGAGAGCGAGGCCGACACGGTCAACTACATGGTGGCATGCATCAAGGCACTCGACAACCACGGCGAGGGACGGACGCCAATCTTCATCTTTGAGCAGCTGTGCTCGATTGTGTGCCCGGAGAAGGTTGAGCCTGAGGTGTTTGTCAACCTCAAGAAGAGTCGGACGCAGGAAGAGTTTATTCGCGGTTCGATGAACAAGAACCCGTACTCGTCGAACGAGGTTGGGCCGCTCATGCGCGACGTGAAGAACAAGATCTGCCGTGACCTCGAGCTGTACGGACTCATCGATGACGATAACGGGATGGAGCTGCTTGTGCGGAACCGCAACGCGCGCGAGCCCAAGGTCTCTATCATCTCGCTCTCGCTCCCGGTGACGGTGGTGTACGAAAAGGTGTGGCAGACGACGTCGTCGGACGGAACGGGATCGACAGACCCAATGGAGGTGACGTTCCGGCTGCAGGGACTCGACGGCGAGGCGACGGAGCCGATGATTGACGAGCTCGAGGAGGAAGAGACCGAGGAGGTCGATCCGGAGGTGGAGCACGCGCTGACGGGCATCTTTGCCTCGTGCGGCGGCATTGCAGCGATGGTGTCGCGAATTGCGGCGATCTCGGAATTTGACGCGGCGCGCGAAGAGGCTGCGCTTGTGCTGCGGCTGCTGGGGACGGCGTGCAAGATTGCTGTCAATCGCAAGGCCATGCTGGAGTTGAATGCGGTGCCGACACTGCTGGACAAGCTCATGATCACGTTCCCGCAGGAGGAGCAGGTCGACATTGCCGAGGGCCTCCTCCTTGTGCTAGAAAAGGTGGTGCTCGAGGCTGCGAGCTCCGAGGCCGCGAGCGGGCGCGAGGCTGTGTCGGACGAGGAGGTGTGCCGGCAAGTCGGGATGTTCCTGGACAAGCTGGCGTCGCCGCTGGTGCGGAAGAACAAGGCGCTGGTCAAGTCGATGACACGGATCTTGCCGTTCCTGACGCTCGGCTCGCGGCCGGGCATGGAGCGGCTTGCCGAGTTCTTTGGGCCCGTGTGTGACTTTGAGGCCTTTGACGCTGCGCCCGACGACGCGCTCAAGGTTCTGTACCTCGAGTCTTTTATTGCCTTTGCGCACGCGATTCCGGCCGACGCCGGCGGAGCGAGCCTCAAGGATCTGCTTCTCGACGCCGGGCTAGTGGGCAAGGCGACGGCGTATCTGTCGAGCACGTTCCCGCTGAGCAAGAAGCAGCGAGCCAAGGTGCTTGTCAAGACGCCGAAGAAGTGGGCGGGCTCGCTGGAGAAGCCCGGGGTGCCGTACGCGCTGCGGGCGCTGACCGGGCTTGTGGCGCGCCACGCGCCGTCGCAGGCTGCGCTGGCGGAAAACGACTTGCTCAAGGTGATCCGGCTGCTGGAGGAAGTCTCGCTGGCAGAGCTCAACATCGGGTCGATGGCGGAGGATCTGCTGCGGGCTGCCGGTGAGGAGAACGAGGCGATGGCTGAAGCGATCGAGTCGTTGCGCGAGGCATCGCGGAAGGAGAAGGCGGCCAAGGCACTGGCGCACAAGATCAAAACGCTGCGCAAGGCCGGGTTCAACGTCGACGACGAAGGCAACGTGATCAAGGCCAAGGCCGGTGACAAGTCGTCGGGCATCAACCTCGCTGAAGTGGAGGAGGAGACCGGCGACGCGTGCATGATTTGCCGCGAAGGGTACAAGTTCCGACCGGACGACGTGCTGGGGTTCTACGTGTACACCACCCGGCACGAGATGCGTGCGCTCGACGATACAGCATCGCGAAGTGAGCGCGGGTACTCGACGGTGACACAATTCAACGTGGTCCACTTTACCTGCCACCAAAAGGCGGCCGAGGCCGACCGCAAGGGCAAGAGCGCCAAGGAGGAATGGGAGGGCGCTGCGCTGCGCAACAACCACTCGCGATGCAACAACATCCATCCGATGTACGGCAAGTCGACGCAGCAGTCGTCGTACCTGACGTACATGGAGCAGTTCTGGAACCAGCTGCACTCGAGCATGGGCCGCGTGGACATGCCGCGGATGCGGGCGCTGGCGCACGATGTGCGGATCCTGCTGCTGCACTACGCTGACCAGGACTCGTTTGTCGACTATGGTGGGCGCGAGTCGAACATCAAGGCGCTACCGCACGTCCTGCAGCACGGGCTTATGGTTCTCGACGTGGCATCGGGCTCGAGCTCGAGCTCGAGCTCGGGCTCGGGCTCTGGAGCCAGTTCGCGGGCGGCGTTTGCGTCTGCGCTTGAGGCGTGGTTCAACACGCCGGTGGGCGAGTGGGCAGGTGCGGCCAAGAACGTTGACAACGCCGGGTTTATGCTTGTGGCCTCACTCTGGCTCTTGCCGCGCGACGTTTGGGCTGCGGCCCGAGTGGCATTCCTCAAACGGACGGTGGTGTGGGGCGCCCTGCGGGCCAGCGCACGGGCCGAGGCCGGACCCAGCGGCGAGGCGGAAGCGGGAGAAGCATCGCGCTACGCTAAGCTCGCGCCGGCGCTCGCGCTCTTTGCCATGGTCGACAAGATGCACGAGGTGTTCAAGCGCGACGCCCGGCCGTCGCCCGGCTCGGCTGTGTCTGCAGCGGCTTCTGCGGCGGCAGTGGCCGGCACCAAAGAGGCGCCCAGTCTGACCGTGGGGAGCCGGACAACGGCAGCGTGGATCAAGTCGTTTGGTGCGGCGCTCCGCAAGCCGTCGCAGGCGCTGGAGGAGATGTCGCTCGAGATCCTGGACTTTGTGGTCCGCGAGGTTGGTGGCGTCGACTCGGTGGCAGCATGGGCCGGCGTCGTTGGCGTTGGTGACGTCGACGACACGTGGGTGGCGGACGTGCTCGCAGCAGCTGACGTCGAGCTCTGAGCCAAATGCGGTAAACAGTTGTAAGTGTGGATGGTGGTATGTGGATTCAATGGGCCAAGTGCGATCGGGCGTGACGGGTAGGGTAGGGGTGGGTGGGGCGGCGGATAGGGGAGAGGAAGAGCCGGAGGCACGGGCGCGGAGCGGGATAGACAGACGCGCTTGCTCGCCTCTCAGTCGAAGCGCGAGGCCTTGGGCACGTAGGCGACCGGGTCGGGCTTGGAGGCCGTGCGCTCGCGCGAGGCGCGGGAGCGCGGGACGCGGAAGGAGCGGCACTTTGCGCGAAAGGCGTCGAGCGAGCGGCGCTGGGTGATGTCCTCGACATCGTCCTCGGTGTAGAGGGCGTCGAGCTTCCAGCGGATGGAGGAGATGTCCTCGGCAAGGTCCGGGTCGTCCGGGTAGGCCTCGAGCTCCTTGTTGAGGGCGGCCATTTCGGCCTTGAGCTCGCCGAGGCAGCCGTCGATCTTGGAGCGGCGCAGGTCATACAGCTCTTTCAGCGAGTTGTAGACCTTGCGGCAGGCGTCGTCGGTGGGCTCGGAGGCGCCAACCGAGAGGTCGTTGAGGGTGTTGGTGATGAGGTCGTCCGTCCGCCGCATCTGCACCAGTGTGGCCTTGAACAGCGTAAAGTCAAAGCACGAGACCGCGTTGAGGGCCGTAGCCGACTCGCGCGGATCGACAGCCATGGTAGCGTAGTAGGAGGGGAGGCTGTGGGCGGGTGAGGGGAGGGTGAGGGGTGTGTGGGGTGTGTGGGGGGTGTGGGGGTGGACGCGTCAGTGGGTGGGGATCGGGGACGGGGTGAGGGGGCCGAGGGGGGGGGGGGGGGCGTACTAAGGGTGTAGTGCGTGTGTGTGTACGCGTGTGTGTATATGCGTGCGTGTGTGTGTATGTGTGTGTGAGAGAGTGTGCGTGTGTGGAAATGGGTGCACGAGTGGGGTGGGGATGCCAGTGAGTGGAGGGGGAGGGGAGGGGAGGGGAGGGGGGCGATGGCATGGTCGTCGTGTGGGTTTGGGGGGAAAGGGGGGGGGGGAGGGGGGCGGAGGGGGGGAGGGGGCGGAGGTCATCAGATCAATGGTATTGGATTGCGATGGTGGCGGCGGGAGGAAGACGGCTAATCGTCGGTGTTGGTGGTGGTCATGGTGGCGGCGGGGACGGCCGGGGCGGCGGCGATGGCGGCGTCGGCGCGGGCGAGGGCGTTCTCGCGGTAGAAGATGACCTCTTGCCAACCGCGGCGGGCGAGCTCGACGGCCTCGCGCTGGTTGGCAGCAGCACCGACAAAGCGCCCAGTGGCATCGTAACCCCAAAAGTGGCCGGCGCACACCTCCTGGATCATCTTCTCCTTGGTCTCGACCACGGCGCGCATCTCGGCGAGCTCGGCCTCGGTGTCAGCGCGGGCCGAGGCGAGTGAGGCCTGGGTCGAGGCGAGGGCGAGTTCGGCAGCCTCGCGCGCGGCGGCTTGCTCCTCGCCGTACGCGGTGGCGTCAGCGAGCGAGGTCCGGGTCGCCTCCAGATCGTTGCGCAGCGTGCGCGCCTCGTCGCCCAGAGCGGTCTCGGCCGACTGCGCGTTGGCGAGGCGGGTGGTGATGTCGAGGAGACGGTCCTTGAGCGAGGCCAGCTCGGCGCGCGCGGTGTCGTTGTCGGCGGACTTGGCTGCTGCATCGGCGCGGGCAGACTCAAGGTCGGCCTCGAGGCCGGCGATGCGAGACGACGACGTGGCGGCGGCGTCGGCGGCGGAGGTCTGAGCAGTCGCCAGCGCGTCAGTTAGCTGTGCCACCTGAGCCGATGCGTCGGCAGTGGCGGCAGTCTGCTCGGCTAGCGCCGCCTCGAGGTCGGCGATGCGGGCCGCAGCGGCAGCGGCAGCGGCGGCCGACTCTTCCTCGAGCGTGGCAGCCTTGCCACGAAGCGCATCAAGCTGCTCGTCGCGGGTGGCAATCTGTGTCGAGTACGCAGTGGCCTCGGCGGCGGCAGCGAGGCGCAGCTTCTCCAGCTGGCTCTCGAGACCGCTTGTCTTGGACTTGCTCGCCTCGAGCGCCTCGCGGGTGAGGGCGAGCGCGTCGGACGCCGAGGCTGCGGTCGCCTGCAGCGCGGCCACCTGAGTCGCGTGTGTCTCGACGAGCGTGGCGTTGGTGGCTCTGAGTGCGGAGATCTCGTCGCGCAGAGCAGCGGCAGCGCCGTCAGATTGCGGAGGACGGGTCCCGGCAGCGACAGCGGCAGCGGAAGCGGCATGCGGTAGCTCGGCGGCGGCGCGGTTGTCGCCCGCCACAGGTGCATCTGGATCAGCAGCCTCTGCCGGGGCCGCATCGGCATCGTTTGCCGGCTCGCCATCGAGCGAGTCGCTTTCCACCTCGCCGCCGTCTGCCGCTAGCACGGTATCTGCCCCCGGCGAAGGATCCGATCCCAGGCCCGGGAGGGCCTCAGCCGAAGCAGGGGCAATCACGTCTGCGGGACCGGCTGCGGCATCATCCGTTGCGGCGGCGTCGTTATCTGTGGCGGCGTCTTCCATTGCGGCGGCATCGGTATTTGCGGCTGCGGCATCGGTGGCTGTGGCGGCGGCAGCATCGTCCATCGCGGGGGCGGCATCGTCCACTACGGCGGCATCGCCTGCCGATGGCATGGCGTCGTCGTCCGCAGGATGAGGATGAGGAGCATGGGCATGGTCACCATGGGTATGGGGCGAGGAGAGTGCGTCGGATGCGGATGCGCTGGCACAGTCTGCCGACGAGACGGAGAAGGCCGAGACCGAGGCAGGCGACGACGACGACGAGGCTGCTGACGGGCCCGAGCCCGAGCCTGTGCTTGCGCCAGTGCCTGTGCCTGAGGTGGCCGACGACATGGTGGCCAGGGGAGGGGAGGGGAGGGGATGGGTGGGGAGGGGTGGGTGGGAGGGATGGGAGGGAGTGGGAGGGTGGGAGGGTGGGAGGTGGGAGGTGGGA